TGTAATTTTTCGAGAAATGGGTCAAGCCCCAAATGTGAAGTATTTTCATCGATAAAATTGTTCATAGATTACGCCTTTAAAGTTTGATCACTACATGCCCGGACACACTGTATAATATTTTTTTGGGACCCCACACAGGCCACATACGACACAATTGTCAGCGACACTATTTACACATTTTTTGATAGGAAAATGTCTTCTTGCATACCCGCCAGCGCAGATAGTTAAGTTTGGGGCTCTCCCTACTAGTAAAGCAGGGGTTTCCCACTTAAACCCTGTTTCTTAAACCCTTAAACAGTTTCCTGCGTGGACCAGGCGAGTCGGGAACGCGGGACTTCATCGGTAAACCTCGTTCAGTACGGCCCTACCAACGACCGAGAACATTCATAATGTGAGACGTTTTTGGCTTAACAATCTGTAGTATCATAAGTACTACATTACTATCATAAGTAACAAAAAGTTAATAATAGCCGAATGGAAAGTAACAATTTTATTTTTGCATTTTTACAGGAATACAGCGTATGAAAGTAAACAGAATTTTATGAAGTGTCGGAAGAAGCATGAGTAAATTTTTTTAAGACAGTGAATACAGCAAACAAATTAAATAAGAAGAAGCAGTGTACCTTGTCATTACTATTTATTTCATAGTACCTATAACATATTTTTTTACATATTACATAACAGTGAATGAACTGCCAAATAGTATTTTATTTATTTTCCATCTAAAGTTGTAGATGTTGCTGTGTCTAATTAATTATTTTCTCGTTTAACGATTGAAAAATTAACTAAAGTTCCTTATTTAACACATTCTTAGCTGTAAAGAAAGATTTCAAAGATATCTAATTCGCAATCAACATGGCATTTGCAAGTTTTTATGTTCTTTCGTTGTCCGAGGTAGGTATGTATTAGAGGAAAAATTTCAAGGTAATGTTTACAGCAGTGGGTGACACGAAACCTTGATGAAAACGACTACTCATTTAGTCTTATCTTAAAAAGTCATGATGTTTTTTTAACACGTTTTACTTAGGAATTAATTGATGCCTTAAACAGAACTATTTAAATTACCAATAGTAATTTCAATCTGGTATTGATATTTAATTAGAATTTTGAATTGAATTAAAAGATTTCTATTCTATTGTGATAGGGCAGGTAGGCTAAAAATAATAACTGCTGTTCTATTGAGGGAAACATAATCTGCAAAGGGATATTAAAGTAAAATCATTTACACTTCATTTAAAATATTTTTATTTGAAATCAAACGTTAGCTATAGGTATTTAGTTATGTATTAACAAAAAATATATGCATCTATGTACTGTGAAAATATGTATATTATTGCGGTATTACAAATAAATACAGGATGTTATGGACAAGTTGGCAAAGAAACTTAAACAATACATTATTTAAATACATACTTAGTTACTTTGTTAAATTACATTAGGTTTATTTGAAAACTAGTTATAGGTATACCCTAAAAATACCTATAATAACCTTACAGAAAATTCTATCTAATAAGGGGGCGTCCATAAATTACGTGAGACAATTTTGGCTATTTTTCAATATCAGTTAACAATTAGTCTAATTATTGTTCCTTTCTACATAATCTAGCAAAATCGATTTTGATAAAAAAAACTTGTTTTATATTTTTCTTAATTTCGTCATTTATTCTGCATTTTAGTATTCACACATGCAGACGAGCATTGTTAGTTTTATTTGTTTAGACGGTATAGAATGAAATGTCATTATCATCATAGAAAATATAATTTTTTAGGGTCCCGTAGTCCTGACAAGGAACCCATAGTTTCGATATGTCTGTCTGTCCGAGGTTTTGCTTGGAAACTATTGGCACTAGAGAGATGTAATTTTGTGGAGTTATGTAATTATATTAATCACGCCGACAAAACGGTAGAATAAAATTTTTAAAAAACATTTTTTTAGGGTAGCTCCCCTACATGTAAAGTGGGGATGAATTTTTTTTCATCTTCTACACCATCGTGTAGGATATCGTTGGATGACTTGGGGGTTTCAAAGACTATTTTTCGATTTAGGGATCCGTTTGCAAACTATTAAAGTTTAAAGTGCCAATTTTTGTTCGAGCAGGGCGTCCCCCCCCTCTAAAAACTAGACTGTTGGCTTGAAAAATTTGGATAAATTCATAATAATACTGCTTTTTATGAACTTTCAAGAAAACTATAACGGTTAGGGTAGGTCAGTTAGTTTAAGAGTAATACGGCCGAATACTGAAACACTACTCAAATCTGTCACTCAGCTGACGGGCTCCTAAATTTAAGTTTCCTTCAATTTTAAATGGTATTCTCAAACGCTACTCAACGGATTTGAAGCCGTGATCAGAGCCCCGATTACGGTAACTTATAACGTCAACAATCCAGACACGCTTCTCGATTCTGCGATACGATTGGTCGTTCAACAGCGTACGTCAGCTGTTTTGACCAATCGTATTGCAGAATCAGAAACGCGTCTGGATTGTAGACGTTAAAAGTTACCGTAATCGGGGTGCTGCTAAGCAGCTCTCAAATGTTTACATAATGGCAACATTTACCAAAAAAAGTATGTTTTCATTTACACAAATGATAACTTTACGTGTCTTTTATCCATTACACGCAGCATCGTTTGGTTGTGTATTGTCTTTTATGGAAATATACTCAATCAACTTAACATAGAACAGTTTATTTTTAGTTTAAATCTCGTTTTATCATATAAAAAAATTAATGCTTGCATTTTTATTTAATTAAAAAAAATATTTTAAATGTGATACTTTTTATTGTTGAAATCTATTAAGTGGCGATCGTGGACCGAAACGTAACCACAATTGACATTTATCATTGTTGACAGAGCGAGCATCAAATTGACAAATCAACAACTCTTGGAATTGCTGCTATGCGATGTCCCCTTAATCCTCAGAAATAGGCATGTTTATGTAAAGCGATTTCATAACAGCTATTTTGGTTGTTACTTCGTGCACTATACGATGCACAGTTGGCTGTTAGATGTGGAAGATATCACCTAGTACACGTTCATAACTTCCCGTTGCGTAGAACAGTAGGGTTATAATAAGTATTTGGTCCACTGGTTGTATGGCATTTGGTGAGGGGTTTCAAAGAGCTTCCAAATTATGAATCCAGAAACAACACCGTTTCTTTAGAGACGCGGAACCTCGCTCGGAATTGCATGTCATTATAATAATATTTTTCAATAGCGTTCAGCCTTATTGCGTTCCTGCGATTAGATCTAGGTATTTCCTCGAGGCTCGAAAGAAATGATAACGATGANAAATGCTTCTTAAAATTAAGTTTTTATTTATTTTACTTTGCTTATACAACCCTGACGCTTGAGCTGTGAGGTAGATCAATTCTGAACACAAAAAAATTGCGCTCTTGTGAGCCTAGTAGTAAGGTGCGATTTCGAATGCACCATGTGCGTTGGATATTTTGCATTATTATTATTACCGTTAAAATGTCGGCATCTGATCCTACACAAAGGAGTGCAATTTCTGTTGCTACTATTATGTATTCTGTGGTTCAGTCTTATTGCATTCCTGCGATTAGATCTAGGTATTTCCTTGAGGCTCGAAAGAAATGATAACGATGACACACATTATTTACCACTATTTAGGTCGATTTAGGTATAAGAATAGGATTTAAGATACCGCGCAAGCACTCTCAAATTTAACAGCTGCTTAAGACGATTTGACAGTTGTTTGAGTAATGCTTATCGTTGAATGGCGTTTCAGTATGCGAAAATTCATTTAAGTGACGTTTAAGTGCAACTTAATTTGAGAGGTGCTTAAAAATTGAGAACTGCTCAGATATTGTTTTGAGTATGCGAAATGTAAGTTTAGGAGCTGCTTAACTATTTGAGAAGCCGTCAAATATTTAAATGGCGTTTCAGTATTCGGCCGATAGTCATTTAACTCATGTATTATAAAATTTCATAATCTAATAAAAATTCCTTAGAAGAAAATATTAAAAGCGACTTTAGATGAAGTAATTGCTTGCTTCTGAAATATATTTTGTTAACGACGGACAACTACGGAACCCTACATTGCGCGTGGCACGACACGCACTTGGCCAATTTTTTTACTTAAGATTTAAACCCAGTTTTCTGGCAAACTCTATTTCTTGCGGAAAAAATTACGTGATATTTCCTGAGACCCCCCCTCTCCCCCACGTGAGATTTAGTAAGGTTTTTGTTGTCCCCCCCCCCTAAAAGTCTCACGTAATTTATTGACGCCCCCTAATATGTCGTGACAGTATTTGGTAGGGCTTGAAAATAACTTACAAACTGGCAACCGATGGGAGTTTAATCTGGAATAACGAGTGAAAAAGAAAACCTAAAAATATACAGTAGTGATAAATGGTTTTTGTAACAGTTAACTGTAACGCTATTGTGCCAACCTGTCCTTTATATTCTGAATAATAAGTTTTATTCTATTTAAACTACCAATATATTTAAGACAAACCAATCTTAATAATTATAATTAAATATTTATGCTAAATGAACAAGTTTATATTGCTCGTTTCTTATTGCTAAGTATATGGAAATATTTTCGCAAGTAGTAAAATTTCCTAGCGTGGAATTGCATACAGCTATTGGAGCTACGTTACCTTTAACTTACTTCATATTATCATTTTATTTTTATCACAACATAACGTTTTATCATTAAAGATAAGTAGTAGTAGTTCATTTTGGACTCATTCGGGGTTAACTGATATTATTATAATCTGGCTAGATAATGTATTTCTACATGTACCTACTTAGTGCAACATAAATCAGGTCGTTGCTGGTCTAAAAACTGTTGTACAATAAGTGAAAACACCCGAATTTACTTTTACTTACTAATAAAAAGTTTACTTCGTTGTCTTAATATTCGTTTATTAGGGTTCATATTTTATAATATCAATAATTAAATTTGTACTACCACAGCTTAACTTAGCGGCATTAAAATGGAATGTATTAGTTTTCGATTTACTCGTATTCAGTGAATTACGATAAAATAATGTTGATTTGGACATTGCACTGAGGCAAGATAAATGATTGTACTTTTAAGTAGTAATTTCTGTTTTTCTTAACAACGCCATTAATATTATGTACGTTATTAATTTAAATTAGAGCAAGCTCGTATTCCCAATTTCTTCGGATACACCCCGGGACGTGATAACGTGTACCCCTTATGGTGCAGGGCAAGGTGGAGGGCATGAAGTCACATAGACGTTCGCTGCTGCAACTGCTGTTGCGGCCTCCTGCACGAGTGCACCGAGTTCACCACCAACAGGGAGGGATAGCGGGATATAGTAAGGCGAGCTATATCCGCCCGCAAGAAACACCACATGACTCACTTTACTTAGAATACGATTATTGCTAAATTACAACCAAGTTACTTACATAATTAATCATTTCAATAACACATTCATTTATTAAACAACTAGCTTTACTAGTGACGACTAACGCTACTTTCTAAGAAAAGTAATTTTCTTAATTAAAATATTTTTATGAGCTCTTACAAAAAAAAGTACAGGCAAATTTTTAGTGTGCATGGATGATCAAATTGGACTGAAATATGAAAAGAACATAAGTTTTATAAAACTTAAAAAAATAAAGCATCACCGGGTTTGCTTACGAATCATTTTTTGAAAAACAAACCATCAACGACTTAGTAGGTAAGTATATTTCGTTAATTTCATAATTCATGCATGCACACTTGTAAAATTCATCTTGTATACTTTGTGTCATTTTTTATTAAACTTAGTCAGTCTTCTTTGAGATGAGCGCTGCTGGTTTGTGTATTGGTTGCAGAAGTGGTAACATTACCTTCCGCATCTTCGTCGTCCACAGTCTCCAGCTTTGGTTTCACCGACAACTTCGATGCTTGAACTAGCTTCAACATAGATGTCTCTGGTTCTATAGTAAATGCATCTTTGTCTTCTTTCTCACAGGTATCAAAATCATTGAGCACATCGCCAAATGGTATGATTTTAGCGAATTCCATAAGTGAACCCACAGCTGGTTTCTCCATTGGTATCGATTCAGTCACTATTTTCTTGCTGCACACTCTCCACTCATCCACCATTATAAGATGTTTACTTAGATCCCAACCTGGTGAGATAAAACTAAATATCAAATCAAATCAAATTTCTTTATTTGCGTAATTCCAGGTACATAAGCGGTATCAGGTATCACATAAATAGTTTAGGTTTCAGTCAAGCTTTGACATGATTTTGTTTGATATGCTTCCTTAATAGATATAATTTTAGGTAGTGCAATCGCAAATTCAACCTACATTATGACTATAATTATGTATTGTAACTAAGTACTACTAATTAATTTTATCCTGTGCTTTTTTTAATCAGTAAGCCTATGCGCAGACCATCGATTTTTCGTCGGCCGATAGTTTAGTCGGGCAGTTGATCAGTATGGGCATGTGCGCACATTACGCCGATTTGATTTGGCCGATTCTTCATACAAATTAAAATCGGGCACAACTATCGGCCAACTAAAAATCGATGGTCTGCGCCTAGTCTAAAGGATAAAGTAAGAGCTCTTTCAAATTAGACGTTTTGAGACGACGTTTGTTGTCCGTTTGCAGGACCGTACACTGTATTACAATTGCGTTGGAATAAAAATGACAATCAATTACCGCACGACTGACATCCTGCTCAAAACGCCTAATTTGAAAGAGCTCTAAGACCGGTTGAACTCATTGCACTCGTAAACTCAAATGCACGCGTAAACTCTTAAGTACTTATATGACTTTAGAGTTACATTTCAATTCTTAACTAATTATGTTTTGGGTACCTGCTATTCGCCTATTCCATATTTATGATGTCACTAATATCTTAGTCGCCTGACAAGCGAAGGGTCGTAGGTTCGATTCCCACCTTAGGCAACTAGATTTTTACAAATTATAAATAGTTTACCCCTAAAATTAAAAAAAAAAATACCAGTAGTTATTAAGCCAGCTCGGACTCTGCGCCATTCCGTTTGTACAATTTTATCCACATATCCTATAAGCTCGTGAGTTGGCTCGTAGAGAAAACCACTCAATGTATCCGGAGTCTCTGTTGGCTCCCGGCTCCATTCCGCAGATTGCAAGGTTTGGCACACTTGGGCAAACGGACGTGAGTCGCCATTACTGTGGTACATTGACTGCAAATTTAAATAAATCTTAATTAATATCGCGGAAGCCTTGCCGTTACGAGCGCATTTTAAAAGAATAACACCTTAAATAACACGTAGGTATTTAGTACTTTTTAAACAAATTAAAATTAGTTTATTTTGCAGTATTTCTTTAACCCTACCAACTGCTTCGGGACAACAAATGCTGAAAAGACGCAGCGAAAGAAACTCAGACACTCTTTTATTAATAATAAATAAAAATTAACTCACCAACGGGAAATCGTTTATAGCACAGACGATAATAGATAGTAAAACAGCATGGAAGTATGCACATAAAATGTCATCAGTTGTAGCATCATCCTTGATAAGTACATACATTTTTCTTTTGTTGATACACGGGACCAGTACATACATTCGTTCGCTATAAACTTCCTTGATACTCATCATGTACGAAGCTTTGGGTCGCTGACTAATGAATTTCTTTATAGAACATCCCACCCGTATTTGAAAACCACAAAGCTTTAAATCTGTGAAGGTAATGATGTGCATATCTGGTAAGTATAGCATGTATGGTAAGTAAGTACTACGAGTATTAAAAAATCATAAGAATTTGATACCTAGTAAATTTGGTCCCAAATGATAAAATATGATGGGCTCTTTACGATTGATTTCACATGGTGTAGGTAAAACTTCTTGCCTCAGATAAGTATCAACTACTTGTAGAAATCTTGGCTCATTTAGTGTTCTTAAACACACAGCACGTACAGCAAAGTAGTTGAAAATTATGTGTAGTACCATCATTAATAGAAATATTGCAAGAGAGTTCCTAAAAAAACTTACTTTGAAATTACACAATTAGGATAAATTAATTACCTTTTATTAATTTAGAGGAAAAATTTATAAATTTTTAAGAAATTATAGTAATAGAAACAAGACAACTTAGTGTTCACAAAATGCAGTCGGAGCCTCCGACTCGGAAATATTAAATACATATCACTAACAAAACAACATAACTAGTCATTGATGCCTCTGACTACATTTGTGAAAACATAGTTTTGCTTCTATCTTTTCTGTTTCAATCAAGCCGTTCAGGCTACAGAGCGTGCCAAAGAAATATATGTTGCAGTCAAAACTCATAATCAGTCAAAACCACCTTTGACTGCAAAAACCAGATTCATATCTTTTTACTAGTGAAAAATGACTTCAGAGCTGCCATTTATTAATTTTGATGCCTTTTGACAGTGCTAGACTATATTGATTTTATTTAAAAGGGTAAGATTCATAATCGGACATGTTTTGAGATGAACACGAATTTCTGTTGTAATGTTGTTGTAATGTTGCATTCTTGTATCGTATTATCGTAACATACCAACATGTCACCATCAGGAGTCTCACATGAGGGTATCAAGTTGAGATGCTTTAAGCTTCTTGTCTTTATGGCAATCAGTCTGTACGTAATTGTAAAAGAAATGTGACTGTCTATTTATGACTTATTAGATACAATACATACCCAAAAACGGTTATGATCAGCAATGCTGCAAAAGATGCTACCAGGTTTACTGCAGTTTCTTGAGCAGAGTCTTTAGCAGATACATCAGCCATATTGCCTCTTATAGCATGATGCTGGGTCATGGCAGCTCTGGTGGCTCCTCCTGAGAAAAACAAAATAGTCTTTTTGTAATGGTTTTTGTAATTGAATCTCTTAGATTTTGAGTGGAAATGCACATTACAGTTTACAGTACAAAGATTTCATATAATTATGTTAAATGTTACATAATAATATTTAGAAATTAGTTTTACCTGCCACTCCCACAATCGCCTTCATTACTGTGCTCACACATAATGCGAATGTTGTATAGTTTTTAAATAATGGTAGAGCAATTTCAATACACATTGCAGCATCATTGAGAGTATCAGCATATAACCTCCATTTCTTACTGTAGGCATCCAAGTAGGTACTAAAACAATAAATAGGCAGGTAAGTTTGAAATTTTAAAATTATTTACAAAGCCGATAATACATTTATGTCAATTTATATTTTTCGTAATTTCCTAGAGCAGTGTTCCGCAAATGGTGTACAGCTGCACACTGGTGCACCGTGGTCATCATTAGATGGTATGCCTCGGAAAAATAAGACTATCTTATAAACTTATTTTTAGTAAGTAAGTAAAGGTAAGACTAATAAAAGTAATTACTTGAAATTGATTTTTCATGGTGTACAGTAGAATCTCGATTATCCGAATATCCGATTATACGGACTCTTTCTTCACAGTCTCTAATTACCGATTTAGGGTCTGGACCCATAAAAACGGAAGGCGCCGCCACCATAACACGGTATGGACTTCATCTTAGTTCATTGTTAAAAGAAATGGATTCATCCAATGGTCTAAAATTTAGATTTTTATTCTAAATGATGTATTGAAAAGCCTTTCTATTAAATATTGTTTGATTTTACTTTGAAATCGATTATCTGGATTTTCGATCCGGAACACCCCTGGTTTTAATTTATCCGGATAATCGAGATTCTACTAAATTGTTTTCCTAGATGTACCTTGAACAACTTTGCGGAACACTGCCCTGGAGCAGGAGTGCATTAAAAGGTAAATGACATACCCATGACTGAAAGCAAAGAATATTTTACCAAGATGACCACACCCATCTTTAATAACCCAAGTGACAGTGGCAGCCAGGGGAGTCGCAGCCGTGTCTCCCACTCCCACACCCCGTAATACTTCCTGTGTGGCCAAAGTGCCTGAAAAGTTTACATTGACTTCAGTAAAACATGAAGTAGAATTTCAGGTTCAAAGTAAAGCGAGTCTTACCTGTTATAGTACTGCAAAAAGCTTGTGCAGTATCCCAAACCTGGTAAGCTATATAATCTTTGCTCACACTATCCGGGTAACCTTGTGGTAAAAAAATTTTGGTGAACCAGCCAGCAACATCGCTTAACTTCTGTTCATCTAATACAACTATGTTACTTTGTTCTGAAATAATATTTTTTTTTTTAAATTAAAGTAAACTAACATTACTGATACTTTAAGAGTAGATGTAGATGTGCGCACATCGTTGATTTTTCGTCGGCCGATAGTTTAGTCGGGCAGTTGATCAGTATGGGCATGTATGGGAGTGCGCACACTACGCCGATTCGATTTGGCCGATTCTTCATACAATTTAAAATCGGGCACAAAAGTTGGCATCGGCCAACTAAAAATCAACGGTGTGCGCCTACTCTGAATCGCCACGTATATACATAAAAGATAAGCTGACACAAAAAAACTAATGTTTCAGCATACCGATATTTCCTGTGAAACATGAAAGTGTCTTACCTGGAGGTTTAACATAATACCTAACGTTAGGACTTGAACCATATTTTTCTTTAACAACAATTTCGCCTTCATGAATTGTAAACATTGTAGGTACTGAATACTGAAGTTACGAACAATTTATTTTATTCTTTTCACTGAATGATTCGTTACAATAAACTATCACAACAAAAGCATTTCCATACTGTATATAATTATCTACTTAAAAAATAAGACCAGTTAGGTTTGGTAAGATTAAATTAGATTTTTTGCTTGTGATGAACAACAATCACTATTGTAAAAAAATGTCAACAACAGCTGACAGACAAGACAACCACAGACAGAGGCACAGATGAGATGACAAGTATGACAACAACCACAGACAACTATCGGAGGGAGCACAGTGGGTTTTTAGACAAAGTGCACATTTTAATCGCAAACCAGTCGAAAAGCCTTTTTTTTTGTATGGAGTTTTGACGGATTCGATTTTCGATTCGATCAAAAAGTGCACTTTGTCTAGACCCACAGATATGGATAGATGCAGCATGTGTCAAAAATTGTATGAAGCCATGAAGCTAAAGATAAAAATGGAGGGCAGAGTTGGAACAAAAACTTGAGTCAAATACCTACTTATATCTATCTCGCTCTCTGCGGCCCTACCTCTCTTTTTAGTGTGAACTGTAGTATTGCTATCTTCTGATTTAAATCTCCTTGTAAATTCTTCGAAATAGCCAATTCACTAACCAAATCAGAAGTTAAACAAATAAATAAAACACTCCAACGATGGTGTGGTCGGAGTAGGGCTTTTCCATCATCAGTATGGTATTCATGAAAAGGTCAGATTACCTCCTGAAACATCAGTTTTTACCGGGGAGTGCTGTGGAATTTATAAAGCCATAGAATATGTCCAAATTATGAAACTGAAAAAAACAGTAATTTTCGTAGATTCTAAGAGCGCTTTACAAGCCTTAGAAAGATTTCCATTTAAATGCAATAGTCAATATCCAATCGTAATCCAATGCAGGGAATTGCTTCATAAATGTTCTACTTTGGGGTTCAAAATTGTCTTCGCCTGGATTCCGAGTCATAGCCATATTTTTGGTAACGAAAAAGCAGATAAATTTGCAAATGAAGCTGTTGTGAATGGTGATATGATCAGTTATAAAAATTATTGCCATGACCTTTTGTCCCTCCCTAAGTCCTACTTGCGTGAATCATGGGAATTGGATTGGGCGCACAGTAGTGCAACCAAAGGAAAATGGTATAAGTTCATTCAACCTACCATTCCTATAAAACCATGGTTTTTTAAAATGAAACTGGGAAAGGTTTCTACCTCTAATATTATCCGTATGAGAATTGGCCATGCTTGTATACCTACGCATCTTTTTAGACTTAAAATTGTTAATTCTGATTTGTGTGAGTGTGGTACTGGCACAGGTGATTTAAATCATCTGTTTTTCATTTGTCCATTACATGACCGATCCTCTTTCATCGAATCCCTTATATCTTTAAAAGTACCTTTTCCCACTTCCATAGCCTGCCTCCTAAACATGCATGATAATATTGATATTTATAATACCCTATCTGTATATATGAATAATAATAACATTAAAATTTAATTTGTTATGTAATTTAATTTTTATGTTTCCGGATTATTTATCATTTTGTTCTCTCCTTTATTTTCCTGATCCTTTGCAACTTTTTTTTTCCGTTTTCCATTTTTACTTTCCTATACGTTTCCCAACCTTTACCTTACTTCGTCGTGGCTGACGCACAAGCCGTGCATGCCATCATAGGGAAAAAAAAAAAAAAAAATGTTGGCTTCCGAGGAATCTAAGTAAATAATGATGTCAATGACATAATTATTGTTCGATGGTGTTGGTTTTCGTCAATAAAATGTGAGAACAGAGATGTGAAATTGAATAGAAAAATGGCTTTGAAACAAGAATCGCACAATGATAGTAAATTGAATAGTCTTGGAATTAAAGTAAAAGGTGATCTTGGTGACTTGCAAATCGTTGAAAACAGCGGTAGTGAGTGTAGTGATGATGACGAAAGGACCGTGGATAGAAAACAAAAAGCACACGTCTTACAAACTATTTCTACCATACCTACGAGTCTAATACAGAATCGTACAGAGCCTATTGTCAGTAATGTTCAGGTCCACAATTCTGAAAATATCCAATTTGGCCATAATACCTATTTCCATGGACCAGTAACAATAAAACAAATTATCAAGAAAAAAGGTATTGATAATGCTTCATACACCTCTGACAATGAAAATGAGCATAATGCAACTGATTCGACTCAGGATGCTGATCCACGTAAGTAAAATCTGTTTTGCATAGAAACATTTAAGCTATTGCTTGCTGTTAATCAAAATATGTAGGTACCTAATATACAAAGTGGACATACTTAATTCATACCATACTATACCAATTTTGTTGGGATCTGATTGACCCAGTTTTTAAATAACATACCTACTTACCTAATCATACATTTTGAAGCCCAAAAACATGCTAATAGTTATTAGCATGCTATAGTTATAGATAATGTTAATAATTGTAGCTAGTGGCAAATTGAAACTCACATTGCTAATACAATAAATAAACCTAAGCTATTCTTTATCCTGAATTCATTGCGACTAAATCAAAAGTAAATAAGCTAAATTCACCTTAATATTTCCACAAAATTCATGTTTTTTTTTCTATTTATTTGGCACAAAAAGTCATTACAATAAACACTTTTAAACAGAAATATTAACTAAAAAAAAGACAATGAGTGTCCAAACGTAGCAATTGAATAAACAGTTCCAAGAGAATATTTTAGGATTATAGATTTATAATAGAATTGAATAAACTAAATGTTGGGTGTGCAAGAAAACTAAACAATTGTCATTAATAAAGGCAAATTAGCTAATCGCGACTGCTACCTTTGTTCACTATTTCCATTATCAATTCATCCAGAACCTGGTGGAACTCCTTAAATTGTAGAAAATGTACTAAGTCTAATTTTGAGAAACCTTACCAAGATTTGTTGCCTATGCATGATCATATTTTTTTTATACAAAACTGAATATTGTGTGTTATTGTAATACTGGCTTTTGCGATTATATTAAATTCTCATCAAATGCGAATTCTATTTTTATGTATGACAATAGTAAAATTAAATTAAAGGTGTTTAGCATGAGAGTACCCGGCAAGTAACACCTAGCTTCAGGCCTAGGAGGGGGCCAGGTCAGACTTTTTTAGGTTCAGATCATTTGACTAAGCTCTTTCAAAGCGACTTTAGTACTTTTATGCGAGTTTATACTTATATGCGATTTCCATACACAATATTGTCACAGTGAGGAATGTTGCAATTTTAGCTCTAGTACAAATTATGTAGGTATGTAAAATAAATAAGAGAATTGGTATACCTCAAGAATTTTATAAGCAAGAATTTTATAAGCTTTTTGCATTGTGTTTAACAGATTTTTGACGTTTGTCAAAGTTACTTCCACTTTGATTATCTTTGAACTAAGAATATCCTGAGTAAAATAGTAATAAGGAGGGAATAGTCGTTACCTCATCGTTTCATCAAATCGCCTCATGTGTAGGCAGCCTAATTTTATCTTCTGTTTACCACAGTGCCAATCATCGTAAAAGCAAACGTCACACTTGAAGACCTTAGTTTAACTACAGCCAGTAAAATCAGATAGCTACCATCTATTAGTTGATTGGACAAGTTCTGGCGGTTTCCAGAAATTCTAAGAACTTAGGAGCTGAATGTGACGTTTGTCAAGGTTTGGAATAGGCTTTGAATAGAGGAATCTATTTGTATAAAACAAAGTAGGTACAGCTAATTCACACACACTGAAAACCAGTGTCGTGGCCTTCCTCACCGTGGGCCACACACGCTGAGTGGGGTCCCATTGCGATGGGCATCGCTGTGCGACAGGGTGGCACTGCTCAGTTCACTTTTTATTTCCTTGTAATATTAATGTGTCATTTGTGTTTTTTTCTTTGTCCTTAACTAAGTGATGTTTCTTTCTTTCTTTTCAATTCTGTAGTTTCTAAATAGTTGGTATAAAAACTGTTTCGATTTGGAGATGAACCCAAGACCTTTAGCTTGCCAGGCTCACTGAGTAAAATATAGATATTGACTGCGCTTAGGGTTGCCAGGTCCAAAATCACAAAAGCCGGATTCTGTGCCTTATTTGGCCGGACATTTTACTCGAAAAGCCGGACATGTGACGGGGGGGGGGGGGGCAATTAGTGTCAAAGCTCACGAGTGAGTACTGTCATCGTATCATCGGTTGCCCGCTTCATATTATTCTGTGGCTCGACTTTCGCCTGGCGCAGCAGGCCAAATAAGAAGCCTAACAAAAGCCGGACAGGCCGGACAACACAATATTTGGCCGGACAAGACCGTAAAAAGCCAAACATGTCCGGCTAAAGCCGGACGCCTGGCAACCCTAACTGCGCTAGACCTCGATGGATAGTTACGCCCGTATTCACAAACATTACTATGCTATGAGGTCTCACAGTGCGCTTGGACGCACAGGGTGACACACGAACTAAAATCACAGAGCTCTATTCAACGCTGCTTAAGCAAGCATCGTTTGTGAATACGGGCGTTAGTCTTCATACAAACGCTTCTTCTAAAGTGAGGAAAACTCATGTCATCAAATCTTAGGTTTTGATTGAATACTAGGTCAGTGGTCTAGTTTGAAGTTCTTCACTTTACTTGCTTGCTTACTCGTACTATCTTACCTTCACCACCGGGTACCCGGCGCCGGTTAGCTGGCAACCGGGACATGTGAAAAGGCATGCCGGACTAATTACGCCGGTACATGTGAAAGCTACGTACCATGCCCATACACTTCACCACCGGGTACCCGGCGCCGGTTAGCCGGCAACCGGGACATGTGAAAAGGCATGCCGGACTAATTACGCCGGTACATGTGAAAGCTACGTACCATGCCCATACACTTCACCACCGGGTACCCGGCGCCGGTTAGCCGGCAACCGGGACATGTGAAAAGGCATGCCGGACTAATTACGCCGGTACATGTGAAAGCTACGTACCATGCCCATACACTTCACCACCGGGTACCCGGCGCCGGTTAGCCGGCAACCGGGACATGTGAAAAGGCATGCCGGACTAATTACGCCGGTACATGTGAAAGCTACGTACCATGCCCATACACTTCACCACCGGGTACCCGGCGCCGGTTAGCCGGCAACCGGGACATGTTAAAAAGGCCTAAGGCTGGGTTGCTCCATCGTATTTTAACATTAACAAACGTCAAAAATTCATAAAAAAAACACCGGTGATCGTTATAGTGACGGTCAAAGTTAGGTGGCACAACTCAGCCTTAGTAAAACAGCTTATCAGCTTAACCTCAAATACATGTTATCAGTAATACGCACACGGAGTTCGTACAAAGGGCTCTGTTTTATGTGTAAATATCATTCACTTTGCTGGACGGTACATCACAAAGTAACAGATCATAGAAACACCATTGTATGTTTCTTTCATTTTTGTTTCTTTTCTCTTTATATCTTTTTTCCTAAACACAACAGTAAATGTTTTTTTTTCTTTCGTCTTTGTCTTTTCTTTCTATCATTATGTGGAGTATGTGGAGTATGTGGACTATGCGTGAAAGGTTTTGTTGTATTTCGAAGTAATTGACTTCCAAAAGTAGGTACTCATAGTAGTGACGAAAAAATTTTGAGGATGCTTCACAACTGAGGTTTTTTTCAGACCCAGAGGTCTCGAGTTGGATTTACAAGAGATAGATCTGATGTACTGATTGAAAGTGATTTATACTATACTAGCTTTCCGCCCGCGGCTTCGCCCGCGTGGAATTTTGTCTGTCACAGAAAAACTTTATCGCGCGCGTCCCTGTTTCAAAAACCGGGATAAAAACTATCCTATGTTCTTTCCCGGGACTCAAACTATCTCTATGCCAAATTTCATCAAAATCGGTTGCGAGGTTTAAGCGGGAAAGCGTAACAGACAGACAGACAGACAGACAGACAGACAGACAGAGTTACTTTCGCATTTATAATATTAGTTGGGATTTACTGGTGAAAGTCTTTACTATGATGATCGTTCGTCGTAGCTTACTGTATTCGCAAAAACCGAACTTACTGTATCCGCACTATATTCGCCACAAAATTCATTCAACATATAAAATCCCCCGGAATTGCTCTATTGTACCCTTTGACACGCCTGTTATTTGGGTCAGACAGAATGATGACGTGAAAAATTAAGCTATATTGAACCTTGTTACAAGAGGCAGAGAGAATAGGAAATTGCGGATCGGACAGACGAAATGTTTGTACACACATCACGTAAAGGGAATATTAGTTTGCCGTTGCATATACTTTTTGTTAATATTGCGCAATATTGCGGGAATATTTTGTATATTGTGCGTTTTAATACTACTAATTAGCATAATATTGCTCAATATTAACAGTATGGCCAAATAATTCATTTAAAATAGAAAGACACGGGTCTTTAGTTGAAATGGAACGCGAAAGTTTAAAATCATAAATCATCCATTTGTCTGTGATAAATTAAAAAGGGTCGTGCTTCTGCAATGAAGATTAAATTATGATGGTATTTGCTGTTTGGTTTTATTTACCACATAAATCAAAAGCTCGTAGAGCTGATGGTTATTTGGGCAGAAAAGTCCACGGGTAACCACGGGCCGGACAAGGCAATGTGGGCAGGCCATCCATTTGGTGGACCGACGATCTGATTCTAGCAAATGTCGCGGGAAGCGCCTGGCTGCGGGCATCGCAGGAGCAGTCGTTGTGGAAATCGTTGGGGGACATCTTTGTCCAACAGTGGACGTCCTTTGGCTGAAATGATGATGAATAGAAAAATGTTGTTAAGTTATTATAAGCTGATCGGTTGGTAGAGGCCTGCGTCCAGCGCCTTCCTGCTGATGACCTTTACGATGTCGTCGGTCCACCTTGTGAGTGGACGTCTTATGCTACGCGGCCTCCACTTCAGAACCTTACCAACCTAGAACGCTATCTACCGGTCCACATGGAAATCATTGGGGGAGGCCTATGTTCAGCAGTGGACGTCCTATTTCTGAAATAATGATTATAAGTGCCTCCTTAGTATATAATTTGAATGTATATATTTTTAAAATGTTCATACTTCGCTAATTCCAAAAGGCGTTATTTTAATCCATTATCTGCAATAAAAATTAAATGCTCGTTATTGTTACACCTCCCCCAACAAACTGGACGATTAATTAAAAATTACAGCGAAAATGGAAGTCAAATAGGCCATTAACGGGGAAAAAGGGGTATTCATACGC